GGCCAGGATCATAACATATCTCTCTCTCTCTCTCTCTCTCTCTCTCTCTCTCTCTCTCTCTCTCTCTCTCTCTCTCTCTCTCTCTCTCTCTCTCTCTCTCTTGCGCGCGCACGGCAGTGCCGTAGCCCCCTTCACTGTCCACGGCCCTGGTGAAGGAGGGCCGGTCACCGGTCACGTTTTTCGTGACCAGTTGGAGTTCACGGAGTTCACTCCGTTTTTTTTTTGTTTTTTTGGCTTGTAGGGGGGTGTTTTCTTTGCACACGTTTGTGCTCCATCGGATTTTGTTTTCAATTTTATTTAAAAGTAAAAAAAAAAACAAGTTTGGCTGATTTAGGCATGGCTTTTGTCGACCGTGTGGGGCATTCGCAGGCTGTTCTGGGCCCTTGAATTATGATGACATCATGACACTGCAGCAGGCTGCCAGTGCCATACTACAAGTTTACAACCAAAAAAAAAAAAAAAAAAAAAAAATGGTCGGGCCTCGTTTCCCGCAGGGCCCTGCACCAACACCCCGCCCACCTCCACCCCCAAATTCTATTTTATTTTATTTTTTTTCTAAGACACCCCATTCTGTTTTGTTTTTTTGTTTTTTTAGATTTGAAGGCACGGGGGTGTAGAAGGCCCCCGCACCACCCCCCTCCCGCCCCGATCCCGACCGTACCGGAGCCCAGGTGGGCGGGAAACCCGTGAATGGCCGCCGTGAATGGCCGCCGTGAACGGCCGTTCAAGGATTTTGGCCTCGGTGACCGGCCGGTCATGTTCAGGTGCCAGTCACGTTCACGGGACTGGCACTGGCGCACAGAGAGATTCGGGCTTTGTCTAGTTTTGTTTTGGTTTGGTTTCTTTTTTTTTTCTTTTTGCTTAATGCAGCGACTGGGTGTTGGCTTGCACGACCCCTGAAAGTTGCGGCGCGTTAACGGCCGTGACTTCTAAAAAACAATGGGGAGGTACTGGTGGTTTAACACTGGGGATTTCAGTTCCATCTGTGTCCCCACACTCAATTTTTTAAAAATCCTTCACACACCCCATTTTGCTGTTCTTTCAGAACCTGTTCCGCATTTTTTATCACTCCAACCGGAAGACATCAGACATCACAGGGTGTGAGGTTTGAATGTCACAAGGCATCACTGGGAGGGCGGAAAGAGGCAGCACCCCTTGAGGTTGAGTCCGAGGGATGGGACTCCTGAAGAAGGAAAAGGTTCGTAGTTGCAGGGTCCCCTGCAGTTTTTTGAAAGCACGTGTATAGCCCGAGTTAATTATGTACGACCCTGTTCAGCCACCTGAGCTCTTGTCTGAGAGCACTGGTTCAGGCCACATCTGAGCCAACCCTCTCTCCAAGGGTAAATAAGGCTGTAATTCGACAGCAGGGAGGGCTCCTGCTTTAGCAAAAGTCGCTGGTGACGGAAACTTGCTCGGCCCCAACAAAAACTCACCTGGATAGGTATCAACTACAAATCATGACATATAGTTCAATTCCCAGGATCCTCTTCTCGGGTAGGCTCTTTGTGAAGGTGCCCGCGGAACTCACTTGGGCCCTGACAGCATTATGGTAGGCAGAATAATGTATACTAATTCGAGATGTAACCACACCCTCCACCTGGTTGTAAGTGAGTGATGGAGTGAGTGTGAGAGTGTGTGTTTGTGTGTGTGTGTGTGTGTGTGTGTGTGTGTATGTGTGTGTGTGTGTGCGCGCTCTTATCGACCTATCTATCTATCTATGTCTATAGGTGTTGTCATGTTTCCTATGCACAACTCCACAAAGAAGCATGACTCTGCCCATCTGTTTCTTTGGACTTTCTCCAACTAATCAGGAGGTTGAATTGCAGCAGTCTGCCCAGAATGGATTTGACTGATGGAAGAAAACTCACCATGTCACCCAGAGTTAGCTATACCCCTGAGAAGACACCAACCCTGTGTGTGTGCTGGTATGTGGGTGTCTGACTCCTAGCACTGATTGTGCTTGGTTGGCAGACTTCTATGTGTGATCTACCTACTTGTAAATCAGTCTATCCCTGCTAAGTTGGTAATGCACAAAAGTGGCATTCAGAAGGTCTTGGGTCCAATCCCGATTGGCCTCACCTTGGGCATGGTTGGTGCGCACCACCTCGAGATAGGTCATTGGTCCCACTTTGCATTGTGTACAGACTGCTGATGTTTGTAAGGGAGTCGACCGGCGAGGAGGCACAGAGACTGACCCATAGAGGAATCTCTGCCCCGGTGCGACTGGCTGACCCCTGGCCTGTATTACCCACCTGCGGGTTGGGCACAGCCTTCATTCCATCGTTGGAGGCTTGAACTGCGGACGGCTGCCGCAGGTTCCCCACAGTACCACGATGATAATAAAAAGGCCTGAAGGGCTTACCCGTCAGATTTGACAGGTGGTTGCAGCAGTGACTATGGCCAACAGTCTCCCACACACCACACAGAACCTACTCAGGCTCAAACTCACACACGCATTGGTCATAGAGGGTCATCAGGTGGTGCAGCCACTGGCAAAATGCTGGGTCCACTTTAGCAGGCCCCCACCCCCTGGGGGCCCCACCCTACTGCCTGACCACGGCCAATTAGGGCGGGGGGTAGGTATGCTTCCAGGGTCCCCTGTATAGGCTTAGGAGTACTGGTAGGTAGATAGTGAAAGGTGAAAATAATAAACGGAGATTTGACAGGTGATTGAATTGGTTGGGCTTAAAAGAAATTGGCATTTTGGGAAGAAATGAGACTTTGGGCGTGATAAACCCAACAGGTTTTCAGTCATTAAACCGTATCGACCATTGTCCCATATCTACCCAGTACCTGCTATCCCTCATTGGGATATGATTCCTTATCGACCATTGTCCCATATCTACCTAGTACCTGCTATCCCTCATTGGGATATGATTCCTTATCGACCATTGTCCCATATCTACCTAGTACCTGCTATCCCTCATTGGGATATGATTCCTTGAACCTCCTCACACTTCAGCCTGGCTTATATCGCATGGCAATGTCTGGGCTGGGTTGGACCTCTGCACTAGGTTTGTGCCAACCGTTTTTAGGCATTAGGGCCTTCTCAAAAAAAAAAAAAAAAAAAAAAAAAAAAAAAAAAAAAAAACCACGTTTCTTAGCTTTTCTCCCATTACCTTGTAGCGTCCCCCCCCCCCCACCCTTTCCCCTTTATACCATTACGCTTCCTGCACTCGCCACAGCTGCTGCTCCAGCTGTCTTTCCCCCTGACACAACCCAGCCCCATGATGGCTGCATTAGACCGGAAATTTAGCTTTTACGGTTGTCATCATCAGGATGCGCAGTGTTTCAATGTGTACAGTAGCTACCCAACTTTCCCACTATCCGTGTCCCACTTGAGGCAGCTGCTGGGACACTAGCAAATTGCTGTTCTCTGCAGTCTTGGAAAGTAAATTATCTTTTGCTTTTCTTATTCTAAGGGCACTTCTCTTTTCCTCTCTCTTTCTTTCCATCGAGGGCATACCCACACTGGCAGTACTTGAGCTGTATCTGACAGCATTCACCGCTGGACCTGGATGAATCTGACTGCAATAACGTAATAAAGACTCTGAGGTCCTAGTGTGCTTACGCCCGGAATACCCAAACCTTATCGATTTCAGCAACTGTTTGAACAACAGGCTCACAGCCCAGGAAGCCAAAGCGGAAGCCAAAGCGGAAGCCGAAGCGGAAGCGGAAGCGGAAGCGACATCAATGACAAGAAGCCAAGCCTAGGAATGAATCCTGGACTGGACAGGTCTTTGGTCGACAAAGAGTTCCAACAGAAATAGAGACAAAGAAATTCAATTTTACCCAAAAGGAAAGGGAAAAGTTATAGATCCCTCGCGCGACAAAACGTTGGTACTCAAGACACACCTTACACGCTTCGACATGCTTCGACTTCTCATTTCCAGAAGAGTCGTCTGCAACAAGAAGAAGAAGAAGAAGAAGAAGAAGAAGAAGAAGCAGAAGAAGAAGAAGAAGAGGCAGACAACGACGAAGTTGAAAGAGAAGAAAAGAGTGGTTCCCCCCCGCGACAAAACGGTTGATGCTCACTGCTCAGGAGTCAGGACAGACAGGCTTCGACATGCTACGACTTCTCCTTTCGAAAAGAGTAGTGTGAAAGAAAGGGAAGAAGAAGAAGAAGAAGAAGAAGAAGAAGAAGAAGAAGAAGAAGAAGAAAAGAACTGTCTGAAAGCTAACGGGCAAACAAGCTTCGACTTCTCAGGACAAATCTGACTGGAGCAATCCCATTTCGATTCCACTCGGGGATGTGCTGGCAGCTGGTGTGCTCTTTCGCCCCCATTCCCTATCTCCCCTTACACCTACTTTTCCTACCTCTGTTTGCGAAGAAACGCGTTGATCTCCCCCACCAACCACAATTTTCCGCCGTGGTCTAAAAGCGTATCCATGATTTCCCCAAATCGCTGCCTTTTGCCCCCAATCTCTATCACCTCACACCCTTCTACACCGGACACGTACTGGTCGCCGTCAAGAGACGATATTTTGAACCTCACCCTTACTTCTCGAATGTTCCCGACTTGTCCTTCTGCTTCTATTAGGGGTTCGAAGTCGCGGATCGTCGTGGCGATGGTGTATGCTCCGCCGCCGACCATCTTCACGCTCATGCTACGTGATGCGTATCTAGCCAGGAGCAGAAATAAACCCCACAAAAGATGGAAAGCGGGAAACAGTAATAACCACCACAAATGACGTTTGTCATTTAGAAAAAAAACGGGAAAAATGACAAGGTGAATGATAGCGCCCCAAAGGAGGAAGAGCTGGACGTTCTCGCGAAATTCGCGGCTCGATAAGCTGGGAGGAATGTCTATGCTGATCTCTCTACCGTCCGATGAGATCACAACCGCTGATCGTTTGGGCTTGCGCGGGCTGAATGTCGAGATTGCCACCTTCGTTGGGTCCGTCCTTGGGAGCAATGATGATAGTGGTTCGTATCCTGTGGGACCGAGATTCACACGTACGCGATGCTGAGCTGGCAAACTCTCTGGCTTGCTGACGTCACCATGATCTACGCTTGATTGCGAACCCCTCATGACCAGCAACTCCACCTGGTCGGGATCGGACGACGACATGGAGACGGGATCTCGCCACGAGGACGTGGCCGCCACTGGAGTATTAGAGCCAGGCCCCGGTCGAGAAGCGGGCTCATCAGGCGTCGAGCTGGGAAGTGGGAGGCCTCGAGAGGCAGCTGGACATGCCCCCGGTAGGGCAGTCTAGCTGCCTCGCAGAGCTTGGATGACGTCATTCACGTGCTGGAAGCCATAGCTGCTACCGGGCACGTAGTGGAAGAGGAGCAGCCGCTCCAGTGTCTGCGCCAAACGATCGGTCATCTGCACGTGGTCGCGAAGACGGACCCGATTCCGAAACTGCAGGTCTCGAATCGTCAGCGACGGCGGCTCTCCTGTGGCCACGTGGACAGCTGTCAATCCAAGAGTGAAGAAATCCGACTGAACAATTGCTCTCTGCCGCTCGAGCTGCGGGTCCGCAGATGAGCGAGCCACGTTACTTATATTACTATTGCCAGCGGCTTGCCACGTCACCGCCGCCGACGCGCCTCCACGTGGAGGCCCCGCCGTCCAAGGCGCGCCGGGTCCCGACAGCAGCTTGACATGCCCTACCCATGATAACCCTCCCCCCCTCGCTCTCTCCGCATCCACGATAACGTTGCCCGAGCAGATGTTAGATTGACTAATTAGTGATTCGATTTCCCATTCTTGCTGACGTGGCGACCGAGCATTGAGCAGCTTCTCAGATATCCGGTTCAGGTGCTTTCGATGCTGATTGAGATACGGCAGCACCTGCAGCGTCTCGACGGCGATCCCGACGACCTCCTCCTCCGAGAACAACCACCCTTTCCGCACAAGCTCCTCCAGCGACTCGCCAGGAGGCTCTTCGTGAACAATGAATAGCCTCCGCGCTCCCTCTGGCGTATCGCCGGCAAAGCAATCAACGATGGACGGAACGACTGAGCTGTTCAACGAGCCGAACACCTACTTCATTTTTTCCAATAGATCTGCTTCCTCGGATTGAGGAAGTTTGCACTCGGGGATAAATACTCTCAGAAGGACCTTCTTGCCATCCGAGGAAGACACAGCACGGTAAGTAGGGAGCACATCTCCTCCCGAAGCACTCATCCCCTGACTGACGTATCGCGCTTCCCGGCCGACGTGAACATGCGGTAGAAGATGATGGTCTCTCTCGCGCCCATTACCTCGCTCTTCCAGTGTAGCCTCAGCCTCCGTCGACTGCGTCCGGACAGTATAGCTCAAAGCCATCTGTCTTTCTTGACCGTCACACCCGCAGAAGCAGATCTCAAAGTCTGCCAAAGCTCTCTCTCTCTCTCTCTCTCTCTCTCTCTCTCTCTCTCTCTCTCTCTCTCTCTCTCTCTCTCTCTCTCTCTCTCTCTCTCTCTCTCTTTTGTGAATCGATTGAAGCATTTACAGGGATGGTAATGACACGTGTGTCGGGAGTCGTCTACCTCATCGTCCGGTCATGCATGGGTCGTTCTATCCAGATCACAAAAGTCCGACAAATCTCTCTCTCTCTCTCTCTCTCTCTCTCTCTCTCTCTCTCTCTCTCTCTCTCTCTCGTGAATCGATTGAAGCATTTACAGGGATGGAAGTGACACGTGTCTCGAGAGTCGTCGACCTCATCGTCCGGTCACTCAGTTTCCCACTCTCTCAGCCATCGAGACCCCGCGTTCACGGAGGAGCGACGGTCCTGACCAGCGCTGCATGGCTCGCTCGAACTGCTCACAACAGGCATAAATAATCTCGTAACTACTAGTTCGTTCGCGGCAGACACGCCGCGCCCCAGACATGGCTACAGTCTTCCCTCGAGTACGTTTACGGTCATTATAGTTGAATTTAGACTGAAAGACACCAAATTCAGCTAAAATGACCACGGTCATTATAGTCGAATTTAGACTGAAAGATACACCAAATTCAGCTAAAATGACCGTACGTTGTATTCGGGGGAACACTGTAACCAGCGTTGCCTACCCCGCGCCTCCCTTTTGAACTCTTTTTCCTCGTAGAAACAGACGTATCTTGGAACCAGCACACGCGCGCTGTGTGATTGTCACTCGTGTGAACGCGAGTAAACGTGTGCTCTCGATGCAGCTCTCTTGATGAAGTTGGAGCTCATTTCTGCCCACGGATGCCACCTCCTCTATACTGACCGACGTGGCCGTCGATGTTGTTTATCAAAGCTTCTATCTGTTTATCCATGCAAGCCCGACCTCGCCCGGGGGCCAAGTCCCACTTCGAGGAGGATCGTGTAGTTTCTCTTGAGGTCAGTGACTCAACGTGGCAAAACCATCGGTCAGCATGCTCTCGTGGTCAAGAACTTGAAAACTACGCGATTGTCCCCACAAGCAGGGCGTTCGGTCTCACGTCGATGACACAGTTCCCCCCCCCCCCCCCTATGAGTCTTGGGAGTAATAAACCTCCCCGCAACGAAGCCTTTGTATTTATTTCCCACCGGCTGGGCAAAAAGAGCTGCGGGGCCCAAAATGACTTTTTGGGCCGGGTGGGGGGGCAATGAATGCAAAGGTTTCATCGCGGGAGGTTTTATAACTTCCCCCGGTATTCTTCTCTCATAATCTATCTATGTATATTATTCAGCATCTATCTTATCTATCTCATCCTCTGGCTACTGTATATGTCAAAATTCAATTTCGTTACTTAATTTTTTTCTGACACCGATTTTGGAGAGATGGTGTGGCGATGCATTTGCTCTCCGAATCGGTGTTTTCGGGATAGGTGTGGCGAGGCCCTAATACGGGGGAACACCAACCACACCTTGAACTTTTTATTTTCATTTTTTCCCTCAAAATTCAATTTCATTACTTAAATTATTCAGAAGGGGGGGTCCTCTAGATTGCTCCCCCCTTCAAACTGGTATCTGGAAGCATCATCCAGATCAGCTTATAGGCTGAAAGCCTTCACGGCCTAGGTCCCATTAGCAAAGAGGATTGGATTTGGCTCCTGAATCTGAACGGCCTACAGGTAAGACTGCATGGCCTAATTCCTAATTCCTATCCATGGTGCAGTTTTACCTGTACAACTAGCAAAATCGTAGGGAGTTCACTACTCAAAGGAGGTCTATCTACCAAAGACAACACACACAGAGGAGGAGCCGCCAACCTTAACAAAATCCTATAACAAAAACAAGCAATGAGAGTACTGTGAAGTTGTGTGAACGCTGCTGAAATAGGATCCTACGGTTCCTACCTCCCATTTCAAAACTTGAACTCTCCGCAGCCCATGTGGTAGGTTTGGCACGAGCAACTACCACGAGCAAGACTTGAACTCTCCCCAGCCCACGTGGTCGGTTTGAAACAGTGTCATACCCCCGTTCACGGTTCACGGGGGTTCACGGGGGTTCACGGGGTTCATGAACGAAGGCTGGTCACCGGTCATGATTTTCCTGACCGGCTGTTATTCATGGAGTGTTTTGCTCTCTCCCCAGCCCACGTGGTCGGTTTGAGATAGTGTCATACCCCCGTTCACGGTTCACGGGGGTTCACGGGGGTTCACGGGGTTCATGAACGAAGGCTGGTCACCGGTCANGTGGTCGGTTTGAGATAGTGTCATACCCCCGTTCACGGTTCACGGGGGTTCACGGGGGTTCACGGGGTTCATGAACGAAGGCTGGTCACCGGTCACGATTTTCCTGACCGGCTGTTATTCATCGAGTTCACAGTGAGCGGGAAGGATTTTTATTTTTATTTTTGGCTGGGGGGGGGGGTTGTATTTTTGCGCAGGTGTGTTGGGGGTGTCCATGGGCACCTGCCTATATTTTTTTATTTTTTTTTTAAGTGAGCAAATCCATGTTCATAGGCACTGGTGCCTCAACAAAGTCTTCTGCATATTGATCATTCCTGTCATCAATGTTTACCACATCGTTGTACAATAATCTCAACGGCGGGTGCAACTTCTCCACATCAGAATCTTCCTTGCACACCAAACTACGCATTGCGAATGCTTGTGCGATATCCTCCTTTGCCTTTGTTTTTGCCCACAAGCAAACCCAATTTGCAACCATCTGGTTCTCTATATTTGTACGCTCAAGTTTGGGTTCTTAGTTTTTGAATTCGATAGTTGAGAGTCTTGAGACATCTAAAAAATTGGTTACAATCGAGTTTCAAGTTATGATAGGGTAGGGTTTTGGTTCATAGGTGCTGATTGATTTATGTCCTTCAGGGTTGAGCCGATCCCTACGAGGGTTATACAAGGTGAGAGGTGTGATCATTGAGAGGGCAGGGGCGGTTTGTGGATTTGTTCCCTTATGGGCCAGGCTGATTTGGGTCGGATCAGCCATGGTGGTTGAGAGGGAGGAGAAGGGGTGCTGAATTCAGCAAGGTGAGAAGTCGAGAGGTGATTACTTGGAGGGGGTGGGACACGAGGGAAGGGGGATCTTCTGCTATGTGGGGGCAAATCTAGGGGGTATTGTCTCCTGCTGAGGGAGCTGGAGTGAATTAGGGGGCTGTTCTGAACTGGGGCTGGAAGGTGAGGGGGCGGGGCGCCTTCCAGTGGAGGCAGCGATAGGACAAGAGCTTGTTTTTTTTGGGGGGGAGGAGTAAGCCGCTCGGTTTCTTAGAGGTTTTTTTACATCCAGCTGAGATGAAAATAGGCACTGTAATTTCCATGGGGAAAGAAGTAGTTCTCTCCCATCCTCTCTCCCCCTGTGGGAATAATAGTTGTTGACTGCCTTTTTAGGTTATGATTCCTGCGTGTGTATCTGTGTTCTTTGAATCCTTTTTATTTTTGCACGTTTCAACTGGAAAAATCGTCATAATTTTGGTGTTGGTTGCAGTGGATTGTGTTTGCGGTGATGGTTGGAGATAATGCGCTCTGCGGCGAAAGGGCAAGCCAGTAGGGCGGAAATAGGGTACAACAACGGTGGAGGTTGAAAAGGTTTTTGTTGGATGTTTGCAGCCAGTGCTTGAAAGAGTGGATGATCGAAACTAGAGCTATGACGACGATTGGTGGCTTGTCTGGTATCTGTTAATGTGTTTTGGTTCCAGTGGTTTTCGAATGGACAAGGTCAGAATGACGTTGGTCGGTGCTGGGGCTTGGTCGCGCTGCCCTGTAACCCGAGCGGTACGGGGGCATGGGACTTGGTAGAGAGATCTGGGGAGTTGTCGAGGGTGGAAGGCACTCTAGTGTCTATTGGCGAGCTGATACTTAGTCGACGCTAGCCGGAGTCGGGGCGGGTCGCTTTGCCCTGTAACCTATCAAGTGGGGGGATTTTTGGGGTGTGTCGTGCCACTCTATAACTTAGCAGTTGGGGGTGGGATGCCTGGTAGAGATTGGGTATCGGGGTATAGGAGAGAGGCAGATAGGAATGAGCTGCTGATAGTCGCTAAAGGTAGGTGGTTTTCAATTTGAATATTCTCGTGAATCCCCGTGATCAAATCTTAGAAAATCGTGGTCTTACGAATGATTTGTGATTATGGGGACCCCTAGCAACTCATTTTAGGAGGCTTCATTGCTGTTATACTCAGTGATCCGTGGCTGTCCGATGCCAGAACGACTCTGGTCGGTACTGGGCTGTAACCTGCTGATGCAGGAGTGTGAGGCCTGGTAGAGAGATCTGGGAATGCTTTGGGGTGGGCATTCCAAGGGACAACTAAGGGTTACTGCTGGGACGACGCTGGTTGGAGTTGGGGTGAGTGGTGTTGCCCTGTAAACCGAGCGGGTGGGGGTGTGAGACCTGGAAGAGCTCGGCGGGGAGTAAGACAGTGTTGGAGAATTTTATAAGGGTTTGCTACGGATTCCGAGGGTTTTGAGCACTTATAGGACCTTTGTGGTGGCGATTTTTGCTTCTAAAACTTCAGAATTTTCTTAGTCAAAACCGGGTAATGACCCTGGTAGCTTAAAAAAAAAGGGGTTCCTTTAGTCCCTTTGTGGAGCTTAGAAGGAAACTTCTCATATTTTTTCAGACTTTTTCATACTTTTTCTTAATTTTAGCCTATCTCAGGGTTTCTTTATCGAATAGGCTAGTAATTGCTCATGATCTTATTCTTCAGACAAAGCCGGGTTGAAGTCCCTGTATCTCAATTTTTTTTTTCTGTATGTGCTCTCAAATACGTTTCATGTTCCAAATGGGACGTTGGGCCCGATTCCCATACATGTGGCTCCCCACGACTAGATTGGAGCGTTGTCCCAAAAAAAAAACAAAAAAAAAAGAAAAAACCACCCTCGTCCTCAAACGGTGAAGCAGCGTACGTTCGAGAACCGAAATATCCCGATTTTTTAATAATACCCTATGTGCGGGAAACCATCATCAGTCTGAAGCAACAAGCAATTGTTGCTGCGCGTAAAACCCAGCAATGCCAGCAGTTCTTCAATGCAAGAAGCAGCTGCTGGTGCTGAGGACGAGAACCAACCGCACTCCGTAGCGACAACCACTGTCAACCAACTGCTCCTTAGGCTAGAATGTGGTAGGCAGACAACCGTTACCCTTCTACTGAGGGACAGCAGTGCAGCCCCTGAGCAAAAAGCAGCACCTCTGCTTTGAAAGCAGCAGTAGTACAGCCCTCCACAGGAACCACAGGACCGTTCCTGAGATATCAGCAGCACAACCATTGCAGCCAAGCTTGGAGCAACGACACCGGCAATGGCCGAACACAATACCATCCCATAGTAGCGACTTTATAGAGAACGACATGATCACGGTCAGCAGTCGCCATCACGGTCGCCGGTGACCATCGGTAGTAGCAATGTAACATTGTCATAGAGTGTAGCCGTTGGGAAGAGAGCAATCCACAACCCCGAGCAGCCAGCGTAGCCTCTAACTTCTCAAAGCAGTCTCAAACAACAGCCTCACCACAATTCCTCCTCTTCTGTCTGCCCGCTTTCCGCCCATCACCACTGGAGCTTCCCAACACTCCACTCCCTAAGGGTCTCACAACTCCATTCTTCAAAACTCATTTTCAAGAGTTGCTGCGTGGCCACACAACCTCTTGAAACTTGGGGTTTTCATTGTTTCAACAGCTGTCAGAGTGTCACAGTGGCTCTTGAAAAAGTTGAAACCCTTTCAAGAGCAACTCTTGAAAGATTTAAAACCCTTGCTTGCAACTCGTGCGTTTTCAAGTGTCCTTGGCCAAACCCTTGAGGGACTATAGATTTTCGAGAGTTGTCAGGCCGTTATCCTGACACCATTCGAAAAAAGCACCGAGGTACAACTGTCGTTTTTCATCCTTCGTCCAACACCGTGCCCTAACGCTTTTGAGAGTGCTGTGTTGCGAGGGGCCGAAAACTCTTGAAAACCCAACTCTTGAGAACGTCTGACATCTCCTGAAAAATTTTCCCGTTTCAAGAGTGGTGTGTGACGCGCTAATCTCACGCCCTGTGTTGTCTTTCGTTCGGAGTGTTAGGCGTGCGGAAAGAGGTTAAAAAAAACAGCAAGATGGGGTGTGCCAAGGATTTTCGGAAATTGAGTGCGGGGACACAGATGGAACTGAAATCCCCCGTGTTGGTCCAATGAAGCAAGTCGATTGCTTTCGGGCGTCGCGGAATGCACGCGCGGCCACGGCGCGAAAAGAGAAAAATCCAAATTCAATCAAAAAAGTATCGTCGGGCTTCCCACCGGGCTACAGCCCGTCGTTTAGAACAGAAAGGCTTTGGCACGCTCCGCGTGTCTCGTTTTCGTATCAAATCTCTTCGTCGTTCGATGGTCAGTTCCGAGTCCGACGTGGATGGTCTCAGCCGCGTGGCTCTTTCTTTATGCTCGTCTTCACTCCGCACACGGTAGTGAGTACCCCTGGATTCGTAGCGCTCAAAACCCCGGCATTCAGTGCATAGAGTGCGCGGCCAGTGGGGTTCTACTGGCGTCCACGGGATGACGATCAACTCGTTGAATGGCAACAATATCAAGTAGGGTGGGAAGTGCGTGTCGATAATGACAAACCCAGCCTCTACGAACCCTGAACAACGATTGGCCGGGGGAAAGTAGTATCGCCCGCCGATTTGTGCAACGGCTTCTCGTACGTCCCACTCACATACACGTGTCCTTCCGTCGTTATAGGGAAAAGGCCGTGTTGGGACGGGAGGTGCGGGAGGCTGGTGCCCGATCAGAGGGTACTGGTCAGTCCACATATCCATCAATTATAGAAACCTTGCGACGTCATCAAAAAGAAAAGAAAACACTCGCGCAGCTCAGCAACAATCTTCTTCAACACGAGAGATAGATAGATAGATAGATAGATAGATAGATAGATAGAATGAGAGAGAGAGAGAGAGAAAGAGAGAGAGAGAGAGAGAGAGAGAGAGAGAGAGAGAGAGAGAGAGAGAGAGAGAGAGAGAGAGAGAGAGAGAGAGAGATAAAGAGAGAGAGAGAAGACACTGTAGCAGTTCAATCACGCATATAACTAACGGACCGATCCGCGGCTCAGGTTTAGTTAGCCAGCGCGATGTTGATCCCCGGCGCCTTGTTTCTCGAGACCGCCTCGTGGTTCGGCTGCTGATGTCGGACAGGGTAAGGCAGATGGCATGCGCAGTGCACTCAGAGCCACAGATCTAAACACTCTTGCATTCTCGGACAAAATCCCGATGACAATCATCTCATCAACGCCAAAGAGACACCCATTTCCATACATTCATTCACTGTGGAAGATGCGAAAAATGAGCCATGCACAGGAAAAGATGGATCGCTTGCACAATACACACGCATCTACCGTTCACAAGACAAGAAGACGGGGTCCTTGCGAAGGAGGATTACCCAGGAAACTAATGGAAGAGTTCCGGAAGAAGTTATTTCACGCAAGGAAAGCATACAGATTCATACTCATCCAGAAGAGGGGAAGAGAGAGAGAGAGCAGCATCGAGACACATCATCATTCAAAGATAGAGGTAAAGGGGGAAGGTGAAGGGGGGGAGAGATAGTCTAGATAGGAGATGACGCAACCCAAAAGAAGGAAGTTCAGAGAGAAAGATCCGCAACAACAAAGGCGCATTCGCCGTAAATTCCAATATGGCCCCGGACCAATAACTCACTCAACTCCAATCATGGATCCTCATACCCGCACCGACGATCCCGGCTGCCTCGTGCTAACTCCTACCACTGCGATCGTCACCCCGCTGTCGTAGACTCGACATGGTTCGCCAAGATCCCACAGCCCGTCGTG